TAAAATCCTTAGTAGTTGAGACTTCTTAGGACAATAGAACTATTTCTTAGTAACTAATGAGAAGAAGTAACTTCCCCATAAAAAAAAATGAACCAACTAAAGTCAAATAATAATCAATTAACCCCAACATTATTGTCAGGAACATGTCCGAAGCAATTGAATAATGAATGGAAACGTGCTGCTGGATATTGGCTTTGAAATTTGAATTGTACAATGATTGACTGTTTTCTTTCCCAGTATAAATTAAAAAACAACAACCACTAAGAAGTCCATCACATGCTATAAGATGAAACCACCTCCTCATTGCAGATGCACTAACTCTCCTTTGTTTTGATGGTCCTAAATAATGCACACACATTAAACAAATAATTTAACAACATAAAATAATTGAAATGCTAGGAATAGTTAATTACTTTCCCATGTGTTGATACAAAACATTTTTTTTTTAAAATTTTAAAATGTAGACATTAAAGAGAGTTGAGAAAATAGGGTCCACAAATTCTTTGTTTGACTTATTGTTTCATAATGTATATTTTTTTAATAAAAGTTTCATAATAATTTTATTATTAGACTTTGTTCGTGGACAGCGATGTTGTACCAAAATGCCAGAGTTAAATAATTTGTAGATATTAAAAGAGAAGAAAAAAATTATTCATAGACATGTGAAAAGAGAAAAAAAATAAAGTTTTTTTAACATTAAATTTTTGATATTTAACGGTTACGTAAATTAATTTAAAATCAAATTGAGTTAAATTTTATAAAAAAATTTTCGTAATAATTATTTTTTTTATTTATAATAATCAAGCTTGATACATTAATAAAAAAAATTGAAGTCCTTCTATTTGAGTTAATAAATTATTGATAAAAACTAATAAAACTTTACTGTGGTGTGAAGATGCTAATTTGGTTCAGTTATTAACTTGCACACCGTAATTTTATACTCTTTCATCGGAATAGGGCAAAATTCGCGTTCAATTGAAGTAATACCAACCAAAGATGTTGAGCCGTGGGCTAAGGGGACTCATCACCTTTGGCTTTAACGTGAGAAAAGGGTTTTTGGTTTGGTCTACCAAACCGGGGGAGGCTGGACTGCTTTAATGCAACATGTTCTTCTGGTCCTTTTTTCGGCCAATACTGTTCTTCTGGTTGTTCAATATATTCCTTTCTGAAAAAAGAATCAAACTATCTACGTAGTAGTTAATATGTACTTTTTTTAAAAAAATAATTTTTAAATTAAAAATATATATGTATATTTTACCACCAATCTGTTGATTCGAGTGGGAAAAATTTGGTTTTTCTTAAATAAGATTTTGAGTTTGAGTCTTTTAAATAGAGAAATAAGCGCCGAGAGAATTTCTTCTCAAATGGGATTTGATGCGATTCGATTTTGAATTAATCAAAACTCAACATGATTACCGAATACAAGAAGATTAGTATCCAAAAAAAAAAATTATATGTATATTTTAGTTCAGACAATATCTTTTGTGGCATTTCACGTGCGTGGCACAACGGTTACTTGTTGCCCTTTAGGGCAAGCCGTGGTTTGCATCCCATGTCTTGGGTTCAATACCCTCCCTACATACTAATACCTCTAACACACTAACACCTCTAACCATTGCCCTTCTCGAAAAAAAAAAAGAAAAAAGAAAAACAATGTCTTCTGTGACATTTAACTTGTAACATTGTTATTTTTTTCTATTTTTTTAAAGGAAATAATCTGCAGAAAAAAATTAAGTGGAGGTAT